ATGCCCAAGGAGAAAGTGTCGCCAGTGCTCGAGTACCATGACGAAAGCAAGCAACTCCTTTTGCGCATCATTAACCGAGTTGATGGCAGACACCTTTTGGCTGAAATACTCAACCGGATGCCAACCTATTCTATCGTGTTGTTCCAAAATTGCACCCATGCCGTAGACGGAAGCGTCCGTAGTCACTCTCGTTGGCAAGGTGGGATCGTAGATACTTGAGACGGGAGCGAGAAGCAATGTTGTCTTCAATTTATGGAATGAACTGCGAATTTCGTCAGTGAAATGGAATGGCACCTTTGGAGACTGCAATCTCGACAAGGGTGCGGCGATCCGTGCGTATCCGTCGATGAAGCGTTGGTAGCACCCGACCAATCCGATAAAAGAGCGAACTTTTGTGGTGTTGGTCGGCTTCGGCCAATCTTGGATGACCTTGATCTTGTGCGTGAGCTGACGGATGCCTTGCGGCGCCACAAAGTGGCCCAAGTACTCGAGCTCTTGTTGTGCGAATTTGTCGTACGTAGCCTGTCCAAAACAGCACGTAGATGCGCCATGTGCTCTTCCAAAGTCCGACTATACACCAAAATGTCATCGGGGTAGATGAGCACGAACCGGCCCAACATGTCGTGAAACTCTGTTGTCATTGCCGCTTGGAAGGTGGTCAGGGCATTCGTGATGTTGAATGGCATTACGACCCACTCGAAGTGCCCGTACCGTGTTTTGAACGTGGTTTTGTAGAGATCTCTTGGATTGATCTCGAGCTGGTGGTATTCGGCCTTGAGGTCCAACTTGGAGAGGTATTTGGTGCCGCCCAAGTGTTCAAGAAGATCATCGATGTGTGGGAGCGAGCCGACATTCTTTATGGTTTGAGCTTTAAGCTAAAGATAGTCAATGCATAAGCGCAGCTCCTTGTTCTTCTTCCAAACGAAGAGAACGGGTGCACCGTAGGGCGAGCAGCTAGGGCGAAAGCAGCCCTTGTCAATTAGGTCATCGAATTGCGTTCGTATCATTGAGTTCCTCCTCGCTGATCCGGTAGATACATCCGCGCGGAGGTACCGCCCTGTCTTTGAGGATCATCTCGTGACGAATTGGCCGATCTAGTAAGAATCCGGCGGGGGCTTCGAAGACGTCGCCATAGGAGTCGAGAAGCTTTACTATACGTGGATCCGATGGCTGTTCCACCGTTGGCTCATCGAGAGGAGGAAGGGAGTGCAAGAAGCAAATGCCCATTTCTTCCACGTCGTTCCGAGCGATGGAGTTTCGAATGCTTGCCGCAGAGACCACGTGACAACCAATCGAAGCATGAGGTGGGGGGACTGTACATCGGACAAGTACCCCATTCCAAGTACCCCATTCCGGTCACGAACATGAACGGTGTGGCGGTAGAAGTTCACCGGGTGGTCCTCGTTGTGCAGCCATGACATGCCCAAAATCATGTAGAACTTTGTGTCCAAGATGTCGAAGGACACAGCCTCGCGTGCATGCGGGGCGAAGTACAGGGGGACCGAGTCAACACCCCGGTCAATGGACTTGTGCGTACGACCGTCGGCCAACGTGACTTGCATGGGCTGCGACTTCCTTCAAACACGCGGCCCAAGGCTGGGGCGCGCCATGAAGTCTTGACTGATGTTGTTGCGGGTAGGTCCACAATCAATCAAGGCGCTCCAGGTCGTCGCCCCGATCTGAATGTGGATGTAAAGTAACGGTGCGTCGATGTTGTTGTACCGTTGCGTGGCGTATTCGCGGTCGATCTTCGCAATGTACTCGCGAAGGTCAACAACAACTACTCTGTCTTCCATCAACGGAGTTGGTACTGCAGTGTGCAAGTAGTTGCGCAGTTCTGCCATAAGGGCGCTGCAATGCGGCTTCGGGAAGGAACCAGATGGGGGAAGAGGCATCCATTGGAAGTCCTCCGGCGTCAATGGGTCGAGGTCCTCAAGTCTAGACCATATCGACGAGTGGCCGAGTAGTGTCGGCGAGGATGCTGGTTCACTTGGCAATGGTGATGAAGTCGCTCACGCATATGACTCTTGCACGTGGAGAGGTTGGTCCAATGGAGGGACCAGCTGGACAACATAGTCTTCGTAACTTTCTTGAAGACTTGTGACATACGCATGTTCCCGAACGTGGAGGAGGTTGTTAGCAAGGCAACCATGTCCGGCGGAGTAGGAAGTGGAGTCGCCTCACTTCCCACGTAGCTCAGTTTCCTAAGCTTTGTCGTGGGTGGACATCTTTTTTGCCTTTGTCGGGGCGTTGCGTCGTCATGTGCTTGATGCTATTGAACCAATAGCAACAGTTCCAATTCTGGCGGAGCTTGTATTGCCCCTCCATGAGGCGGAATTTCTTCCACAGTTCATTCGGCTGTCGGGCTTCCGTTGTTGACGCGGATTTCGTCTTTTTCTTCTTGTTGTTACGTTGTGGCTTAAGGGCGTTCACTCCGTCTCCTTCACTAGACTCGTGAGTCAGCGCCTGGTCATCATCTTGTCCATCGAATTGGACAGCAGCGACTCTGGCTGCGACCACGGGCCTTTGCCCTTCTCCACAAAATTTGGTTAGGTTCGCCTCTCGTTGGCAGCCCACCGATTTGTTTGGATTACCTCGCGTGCCTCGTCCACGAGGGATGACAACGAAGGTATAAAAGAGATGGACAAGGCGGAAATAAGAAGCAAGTGATAGTTGGTGATTGAGAACGAAAGAAAAGCTGAGAGGCTAGTTGATTATTCGAAAAGAAAGAAAAGCTGAGTAGTTGAGGAGAAGGAGGGAAGTACTTGACGGAAAGGAAAAGAGTAGTTGGATTGTAGATGAGAGAGATAAAAGAAACATGTCAAAAGAGAGGGTTAGTGACGATGCATGGGAAGGGAGATAAGTAGGCGGGAGGAAGTCTAATGTGCGATGGCATGACAGGAGGTTAAAGGAGAAACGGAAATTGGTATCCGAAGAAAGAAATGCTGGAGAGCTAAAAAGATGGCATGGTGCCAACTTCGTTCAGGTCGCTTGAAACTTGGGTACCATCTCTCATGATCGTTTTGTAAGGAGCAGTGTTTCTTTTCTATAAACAATATTCTGCGCAGGAAGCATCTTTGTGACGGGCACGGGCTAGTGTTTGTTCCAAGGAGGACATCCCATAGTTCCTTTCCATTGACTGTCAGCCTCCGGTAGCAGTCTACAAATCCTGTCCTTGACCACTAAGGAGGAGCAGTTACTCGTACTGCCTGCCCCGGTGCTAGCACGGTGCTTGTCCCTATGTGATGATATAGGGGCTGGTTGGACCTTTGCCATCACCACTTGAATAGAATCAGTCAGGTTGGCCTCTGCTTACAACTATGTTATGTATATGGACTGTCATCGTCCATGGAATGTCCTATGCGTTGAGAAGAACGAGCTTGACATAAGCCAGAGACACCTTCCTGCCCTTGTGGCTCCTGGGATCCAATATTGCACATCTCATCCGCCTCTGTCGTGTAATCAGGAACAATGCCTAATATCATGAGAATACCACACGTTTGTCTCATCGGGTGCACATAATTTGAGCTTGTTCAACCTGTAAATGAGGTCACATGCTACTACTGACTTTTTGTTTTTCTTTTGAGTCCAAGGTTGGGAAGGGCAATGAGTGGTGAGTATTTGTGTGCAAAGATCACTCGCTGGTCCCCCTGCCCTCTCCTTAGACATTTGCACACACACTCTGTCACATATCCACACACACACCACACATGCACACATATGCAGCCATGCGCACACATGCAAACATGCACACATATGCAGACATGCACACAGTGACACAGGCCTATATTTGAAGTGCATGATGCAGTGTTTGCTTTCTCTTTTGGAACTGCTTCTCTATGTTGTGTGTGTTTGTCATTGGCTGTGGATCACCTATTCAGTGTTGTTTTCCACGTGCTTTGTCATCCTTCAACGTTGGATGTTGTTTCCCACGTGATTTGTTATTCTGTAATGTTGGATAACACTGTCTTGCTTTTGCACGTGGGAAAATTTGGACATGGCACAGATATTGCTCTGTATAGTTGAAAAAGTGTCTGAGGGTTGTGACTCTCTGACAGGCATTCTGGTGGCAAGCGATAACCATCCTTCTGCAGGCTCAACTACAGGTGCTTGGTAACGTGGACACCAGTAGTACTAGAGGATACACTACAGCTTGACAGGGTGCAAGTATGGCTGAGCCGCATATTTGGGTGTATGACTGTAGAGGAGTTACTGTATTTTCCGGTAGGGCCCCTCAAGCTGCTTTGGGAGGGGTGTCACGACAGCTAGATTTCGCTGAGAGCTATAGCCTGACCTTGGGTGTGGTTGATAACCACCCAGGATAGCAATGTTGTCCTCTTCAGTATCAACCCCCTCTCTTTTTCGATTCTTGATTGTCACCTCTGCTGCATGACACCTGTAAAGGGGTGCAGACTATGTCTGCTACCCTGCTAGGAGAAGATATATTATTACAGTCCACAGAGCCAAAAACTGGGTCTACTGGGAGGATTCAGCTGCACGCATGCATTGTCTGTCCGTCCTAAATACTTCTGATAATGTATTGCAGGGGCTTGCTCATTTTTTCTACTTGTGAGCTTACATTCCTTGATACGCTTGGAACCCTGTCTCAGTGTGTTATCCTGGTTGTCCGCCCTTTTACCCTTGCCTTGTCTGCTTTTTGCTTCGAGATCTCTGGCAGGAATTTCAACAAACATAGTTCTATCTGATCCGTGGAAGGGACTGACTATCCTTGTCAGTTTGACCCTCATCCTCCTCGCCCCATTGGTCGCTCTGTTGGTTTCGACTCCTCAGGGTGCAAACATGGCATGCTCTCTTGTTTCCCTTCCAACCAGCTCCCCAACATCCCCATTCCTGCTAGGTATGCTAGAGTAATGCATGCTACCCCTTGGTGGGTTTTCTCCACCATCATGTTCTTTCTCAACCCCTTAAACAAGGACAAACAGAGAAACTCATCTGATATCTTGGTGGGGTTTTCTCCATCGTCCATCGTCATTTTGCAGCCGTAAGCTCTCAAGTCTGAAGCACAGACTCGTGGTATTGCCGCCTTCAGATGTTATCGGAAACAACTCGTCACCTGAGTCTTTTACTGGTGTGAAGAGGAAGGGTACTTTGGATGGAGATTCCAGCAGGGGATTTGTGTACTGGCAGTGGGCTTTTGAATCACCACATGAAGTCAAAGTGCTCGTTCGGCAGGTATGAAGCTTGCGAAGAAAAATCAGAACTATCAACTGGTCCTGTGGTTGATGTGGTGGCCCGGACCAGTACATGCACATACTGGCATTCATTCCCAGAAGGGTGTTGAAACTGACACTCGTTCTTCTGTAGTTGAGGTGATGTTGAGGCAATGCCGATGTGATGTTGAGATGTGGTTGAGGGGCCACTGTTTGTTCGCATATCATACTATTCAGCACTCACAGGTGTCACTTATTTTAGCAGTCTGACGAGCATGCTGACTTTTCTTACCGAGGTGCAAACAGATCTGGATGCCAGTGATTGGGCTAAGCAGTATTCTGAAGTTCTAAAGCTGTGCCTCTGGAGATCTGCAGATGTGTACTGATGCCCTGCATCTTCTTCTATAAGATCGCTTATGTGAATCTTTGTGGTACACTAGTACGATTCAGGTTTTGGGGTTTATGTGAATGTTTGCGGTCTGTCAGTATTTTGGTTGAGGCGGTGTTGTGCTTTATTTATGATGATGGGTTGAGAGCAATCATATCGGTGTGGTTATGGAGAGTCTGTGAGTTTTGCTTATGGTTTATCCTATTTTGGCGATGTTGTGTGATTGTAACAGTAATTGTGTGTATGTTTTCCGATTGATGCACCAAGGGCTGGTTCTTATCATAAAACCTGCACTGGGGAGTAGATGTCGCTGTGTACGTGAAGGGAATGGATTAAGATGGGATCTCACATCTTATGTTGCCTGTTTGGCCGCTCTGAATGAAACACTTTGATCTTGAGTGGTCCGGAGATGTTGGGAAGTTGCTGCACTGAAAACGGGGAGATGCAGACAGAAAGAGAAGAGGAGAGGCAATGACAGTGCCAGCCTAGTTTTACATGCTAAAGTGGTGCTCTGTCCTCTGTGTCTTAGATCTGAGAGATTGATTACCTTTGACGAACTTTGAAGATAACATGTCACTTCACCTCAAGCAGTCTCACGGTATGAAGGGCTTGCGGATGAGTACTTGGTCTCTTTGAACAGGAAGCCTAGTCGTGTTCCGACTTGTCATCAATGATTGAGCTGACCAGTCAATATAACACGTTCATGTTTGCTGGCAAATGCAGCTTGCCAACTGCTTGATAAGAGAGACTATTGTGGGTGGGACCCAGGTCTTCTAGGGCTCCCACAAGTGTCTGGTTAATATCCTACTCTTCCTTCCTCCTCCTTTGTCGGGACAAGCCCAGTGCTGAATCCTGCAGTGGGAAGAAAGGGAGTCCTGTATTTTGTCCTTCCTGAGCTTCCTCCCTTCCCTAAGAAATCAACTCTTTCTAGTAAGTTTCTATCATGGATGGGCAAACTTGGGTGTCCCTGATATGCTGAACCTGAGGCAGATGCTGCATGGCCGGTTATGCCACATGCGTTTTGCAACTCCTTGGCTCTCTTGATCTTTGTGATGGTGGACCGTCTTACAATGCTTGAACATGGGTCAGCGTGACTGGATGGATGGATGCAAAGAGGTAACTCCTTGCCAGGGCCCAGGACCCTGCCTGAACATGCACTTGTGTGCAGAGTCTGCCTCTCTCTCTCTCTCTCTCTCTCTCTCTCTCTCTCTCTCTCTCTCTCTCTCTCTCTCTCTCTCTCTCTCTCTCTCTCTCT